TATCATAATTTATGGTCACTCTATTTACAAGCTGGTCTAGGTCAATTGTTTTCAGTGAGACAACAAGAACCATTTTGGTTAAATAGTGAAACATTGATTCGTCAACGGCTTCTTGAGTTTCAAACTAAATTGGATCATTATCGAAAAGAATATAATTCATTCAAAATTGATACAAGTACACAAAATATAATTGAAAAACTGGTCAATGAATATGGTTTAATCGAAATTCATATGGAATCTGAATATACTATTGCATTATTATATAATAAATATCATGATCATCAACTTCAAGTTCAATATCAAAAACAAACTTCAACACAATATCAAGTAAATTGAGAATTTTATTTTTTATATATATATTAATTTGAATTTTGATATTTATAAAATAGATAGATATGGGACAAAAAATATTCGATACAAGTTTTCAATTATCAACCATGAACTATGAATTAATCTATCATCGATTACAACTGCTCTACGATCAACCACCTCGATCTTATGATAAATTAGAATTTCAATTACTATCCAAGGATCTCTATGAAAAATTATTACAACGAACTAAAACACAACTCATGTCATTACGTTTACTATGTCTACAAACAAATATCTATCAATATGAAACAAAATTAAAATTACAAAAAAATGAAATAATAGTTGGGAAAACTATGAATGAAATATTATTTCGTTTAATCGATCAACGTATCGAATTAATGCATAAACAAATGAAATTAAAATTAGATTTTCATACAAATTATAATCTTCGTGGCCTATTTCATCATCATCATCGTGATGATAATCGTATTGGTTTTATTAATAATTTAGAAATAGATTCCATAAGAATGAAAAATTATTTTAATAAAAAACAATTAAAATTATTATATCGTGGTCCATCTTATGTAGCGCCATGTCAATTACAATTGAAATTATCAGATCAACTTCTTGAAAGACAATATCAACCATTACAACAACACTTATTAGTCGATCTGGTGAACAGATAACCACATGAGAGAAAATTATTCAATA